AGGATTGGATACTGTTATGAGACACACAGTTCAAGAGCTGAGTGGTCTTCCTTATCCATGTAAATGTCATGATGAGGGATAGGTTCACTCAGTTAGCCTAGTTGCCAGTTTGTGATTCAGAGTGATGCCAATAGCGCGGGTTCAAGGTTACCATGAAAGAGTCTCTTTCTCAGCTTCTCCTCTCACCTCAGTCATGGTGATCCTCATGGTAAACCACCACCAATCACCTCTCGCTAATGAGAGAGAAGCCTATGATCTAGTAGGACTATGGTGACCTTACCTATATCCAATGATCCTGAAATAAAGAAAAATGATTATAATTTTTGTAACTAAACCAGGTTTTGAATCAAATTTATCTCAACTATTTTAACGAAGTTAATTCTGAGTAACAGCGGCCCCTTCCTCACTTAAAATAACAGTGAGCAAAATTCTGTAAGTGTGCATCACAATGAGATAATCAACAGCAGATTCAATCCTCTAATCACATTTTTAAAAACTGCATAATAAGGATGCATTTCTCATCAATCACATAATTTCTGCCTATCACATTTCAAGGGATACTCTCACATCTGTGTCTTAGGCTTCTAAAAGAATGAAGAAGTAAATGGAAATCATTAGTCATCCATATACAATACCAGAGCTACATCCTCTGAACTGACCAGTACCCTGGGGTGGTGTGTTCCAATATGCTAAGAGACCAAAAATGTGGCAACATGCACTTTTACCTGCATTTGTAGTCTAGAGCTATGGAGAATTGTGGTAGAAGCTCCAATATCCTTGCCATCTCAAGACTGAGATGAGGATGAATTTCTTCTCTCATAGGGTTGAAAGTCTTTGGAACTCCTTGCCACAGAGAGCTGTGGGGGCAGAGTCTATGTGTATATTAAGGCTGACATAGGTAGATTCTTGATCAGCCGGGGAATCATGGGCTATAGGGAAAGGGCAGGAAAGTGAACATGGGAAATGTCAGATCAGCCATGATGCTATTGAATGCTTGAGGGGCCAAATGGCCTGCTCCGGCTCCTATTTCTTATGGTCTTAAAGCTGACCAAAAATCGCTCCCATTCTCAATATCTGCCGTTGGTATGCTGGGCAAATTTACAAGTTTGGCTGTGTTATGAACACACCTTCCTTGGCCATCAAATTGTGGAGTGGACTTGAACCTGAACATTCCATCCTAGAAACGGGGATACTCATATGACCTCAATAAACAATATTCACTTCAATGCAGTTAAGATTGATGATATTCACCCTCATTTTACTATCTGCCCTAATTATGCAAAACTTTCTCCTTATTAAAAGTTAGTATTTTATGACTTACTTCCAACAACTTCATGGAAAATCAGTTTAGAAATTCTAGACATATGAGACAATGATAATCACTAGCACAGGCATTTCTAAATCCCTCCATGAATTTCAATTATAGAAAGTGTAAATCATATCTGGGTTCCACAACATGTTCATTTTTCAATTTCGTAAAAGTCACACACTAGCAGCAAAGAAAGATTTTCAACCAAGCCTTGATATAAATCTTTAATGGCTTTTATTTCTCGCTGGGACTCCCAGATCTCCCTGCAGCTGTAACCTCTCTTGAATACCTTGTGAACTTCTACTAATCTTCCAACAAAGTTGTGCGGGAGATCTCTCCCCGTTGTGGGAAGTCCAGGATGTGGCTGATCACCATCACTAGTGTTCAGAGATTCTTTGGATTTGGCTTGGCATCATCACCTTGCATTTATTCCTTGTACAGAGTCACCTGAAGGAGTTGCAGCAGCAGTTGAAGGGAGCACTGACATTCACAATGTGGCTTTCAGAGAGACAGAGCTGGAGTCCTGACCTACCCATCAGCATTCATAGAGGCTTTTGCAGAAAGTGCCAGGAATGGGCACCAAATATGCTTGAAGGCAAGCAGGTAAAAACAGACCGAGTAAAAGGTTTCTTCCAGGATATAAGAAGAAGGGCACAAATTGGCTCTCTTTTACAACAGAGACTATATTTCAAATTATACAGTTCTGATTACCTCACTAAAGGAAGAATGTGATTGCACAGAGGAGATTCATCAGGATGTTGTCTGGCTTTGAGCAGTTTAGCAAAGACCAGAGGGTGGATAGGCTCATGTTGTATTCTTTACAGCAGAGAAGGCTGAGAGGGGACCTCAATAAAGTATATGATTCTGAGGAGCATGGACACACGAGATAGAATTCAACAGTCCCCCTTAGACCCAAACAAGGGAACATAATTTTAGGGTGAAAGGCATGAGGTTTTGAGGGGATTTGAGGAAATTTATTTTCATCCAGAGGGCAGTGCACTGTCTTGGAAGGTCTTTACTTGGATGAGCACTTCAAATGGCATAACATTCAAGGCCATAGGCCAAGTGCTAGAAAGTGGGACTAGACTAGATTTAGAGTAGTTTTTGTCAGTGCAGGCTTGATAGGCCAGAGGACCTCATCTATACCATGTGATTCAATGAAATGTATTTAATTGCCAGAAAAATGCTCTGGTGTATCTAAAGTGGTGAATGGTGCTATGGGAATGAAAATTCTTTACTTTCAATTTGAGTGCCTTCTTGTGTCCCTCCTCTTTGGTGCAGGGGTCAGAATGGCCTGCCCATTTCACAGTCTGCTAGTTCTCATGGGGATACGTGGGGATTATTGATTTTCACTCCTGAATTCTTGAGACACATCTCCCCACTGCAGGAAGACCTGTCCTGGGACAGCTCATTGGATCAAAAGGGAAAAGTGAGGTGAGTCTCACTCTGAGTAAGTGAGGCTTGGTAAGTTTGGTTTGTATCTTAATGTCAGCCTGTGCAGTTCCAAATTGACCTTTTTGTTTCCTTTTAAAGGTGCTTCTGTCCACCGCTGGCTTATCGTCTCAATACCTCCCCCATCGTTAAATAGTTTATGCTGTACTATTTTGAGATTCGAGAGGAAAGCTGCAGATCTTTTCGCCAGCACAATCCAGTTGCCGTTTACCAAAACACTTTCCTTTCCAGGGACGCTGCTGCGTTTCACTGTCAGGGAGTCGGTGAGCCACTAGGAAAAGACACTAACCTGTCTCTCAATAAGGCTGAGAAAATTGGAGAATTAAGAAAATGTCGACCGTAGTTTGGCTAATAGCACACATTTTGCCTTGCGTCACGAGGTCCTGGGTTCAAGCCCCATTCCAGAGCTTCATCACAGAATCAAATCTGATAATCCTCAGCAGGACTGATATGCTGCCCTGTTGGAGGTGCTATCCTGGGTTGAAATGTTAAACTGAGGTCTCAGGTGGGAGGTCTTCAAGCACAGGGAATAGCGTTCCTGCCTCAGAGTCTAGAAGGTCTGATTTTGGGTGTTGCTTTTGTTGAACACAGAAGGATATTTATAACATAACCAGATGTACTGATGTCCAACTTGCAAATCCTTCCAACAGTGTCAGGCGGTAAGAGTGAGAGAATCTCATGGTCACCCACTCTTGGTGTGGAGTGGTACCCCTAAAGCTATAGCCTGTAGCTTCAGACAGTGACCTGTTCTCGGAGAAACAAGCCATGGAAACAGATACAAGCATGTGCTTTATTTACCTCAAGTAAGGCATCTCCCTGTTAAAGATCCCAAGTTTCACTTGCGTTCTTTAGGGATGGAAATCTGCCAGCCTTAGCTGGTCTGGCTTACAGGTGACTGCAGAGCCACAGCAATGTAGTTGGCTCTTAACTGCCCCCTGAAATGGCTGAGAAAGCCATTCAGTTCAAGGGCAATTAAGGGCGGGCAACATACGATGGCCTTTCTGGGAACATCCATGTCCCATGAAAATGTAAACACAGGGAAAACATCCACTCCATTCTGTTTGCAGCACTAGACTTCACTTTTCAAACAAATTGAAGGTAAATTTTCCCAAAACTGAAAGATAAACGTAAAGGGGCTTTTTGTGGTACTTCCGGGATCACTGCAATTCCACCCTTTTTTATTTACAACTTTACTCATAGGATTTACATACAGGTGCAGTTATTGTTATATATAGATATAAGTTCTGCATTTTTCAGGCATACCCATGATGTGTGCAGCACAGAAACAGGCTATTTGGCTCAACTGTTCTGTATCTGTGTTCCTGTCCCACACAAGCCTCCTCCCTCCCTTTCCTCACCCTATCTGCAATATAATTTATTATTTTCCCTATATTCTCTCTTCTGTTGTTTTCCCTATTTTCTCCTTACTTGCATCTACGCTGTTCACTTAAACTAGTGCCTGCAGCAGGGAGTTCCACATTCCAACCAGTCCCCAGATAAAGAGCCTTTCTTCTTGACGCCAGGAGGGAGCAGAAAAGATTCACGAGAGTTCTTCAGGGATGGGGACCTTCAGTCAAGAAGACATATTGGAGAAGTTAGGCCTGTTTTCCTGGGAGAGCTGAAGGCTGGGAAGAGTTTTTACAGTGCTATTCAAAAAGGGGTCCATGCAGAGTAGGTAGGAAAATAACTGTTCCCAGGCGCAGGAGGATTGAGAATAAGGTGGCACCAATTTCAGGTCGGTAGCAAAAGAAGCAATGGCGATGCGTGGAAAATTAATTAGTGACCATCTTAGACTGATGGTGACCATTTAAACTGTTTCGTGGAATCTTCTTTTCTGTGTCACTCCATCTGCCCAATCTCTGTCCCATCCCCATTCTGTCACGGATAAAGCAAATAGCTCAGTGAAGAAACAGTGAGAGTTGTAAGGATACTGCTGTATTTACATCAAAGTTGCCTCAGCTGGAAAGCAACTTTTTTGTCACCTCGTGACATAGCTTGCGACATCACAAAGCTATGTTCACACAGTTTGAGTAACTTCAAACTTAAACAAGATGCAATTCAACTGAACTGTAATGTACACTAAAGCTAGGTATAAAAACCTTCCCACTCCACTAAACCTATAGAATAATGTAGCTTGCTTTTCTGCACAGAGGTGATTTTTCATTTTGGGAATAAACAGAGACGTCCAAGTACTTAGTGATAGCAATTGGGTCAGAAACAGTGATAATCGAGTCAATTGATGGAGGATGCTTCAAAGACCAGTGATGCTTTTCCACTGGCCCTGGTTGTTCTGGATCTTGCCCCATGGGTAAAGCAGGAGACTGTACAATGGCTGATGTCTCGCATTGAGGGGCTAAAATCATCAGGTGGGGCAGAGCTGAAGGTCAAGATGGTCGATCAGTCAGATAGCAAAGGCGTGGTCTTGCTGATTGGAGCCACCTTGGATAGGCTGCTGCGTGGAGCGGAGGAGGTAGCGCTGATGAAAGTCTATGGGGACGGGAACTTCAAGCCCTTCAAGTACAGCGACAGGCAGAATTTCCGGGAAGCGGAAGCCCAACTGCTCACTACGGCTGAAATGCTGTACATCCTCAAATTCATCCTGGACAATCTGCGGTCTAAAGATGAAGAGTTCGTACCTGGTCAGCCCAACATCAAACTCCTCCCTGGCAAACCTATTTTCCCGGAGCTGTGGGGTGCCAAACTTCTCACCAAAATGTACCCAATGCACAATCGAGAAGAGCTGGAGAACCTGAAAGAGCAATGGAAGAAACACTCTTACATCATCAGCCAACCCGTTCAAGCTTTGAGAAACTACTTTGGTGAATCAGTTGCCTTGTACTTTGGCTTCCTTGGCTACTTCACATGGGGTCTTGCGTTTCGAACTCTTTTGGAACTCTTCTTCTACGTCACCAACCTGAAAGACTCTGGCGGGTGTGTTATTTGCGCCCTGTACAATATCATTTGGTCTACCGTGTTCCTGGAGGGATGGAAACGTCGCAGCGCAGAGCTGACATTTAAATGGGGGACTCTCCGGCAGATGGAGGGCTTCGAGCAGGTCAGGGCCGGCTTTGAGGAGAAACTAGGCTTGCAACAGGCCACTGTCATAAAGGACACTTCAATACTCAAGCAGCAACGCAACATGAAGATATTGATCAAGTCGATGCCATTCTTAATTGGCTGCTTGACCATCACTTCCTTTCTCATAATGACATACCTAGACATGGACCAAAAGGCTCAAGAACACGACCTGCAGGAGCAAACAGTCCAGAGCCTGCTGTTAACGTACGTCCCTATACTTGTATACAGTGCCATTGTGGAGGCACTAAACAAGGTGTACCTTATTTTAGCCAAAGCCTTGACTGAAAGGGAGAACCATCGCTTAGCTTCCACCCATGAAAGCTATTTGTTGGCCAAGGTCCTTATCTTCTACCTAATCAACAATTTTGCAATTCACTATTACTTTGCCTTCTACCTGAGAGATATGAAACGATTGGCGGACACCCTCTCTGCTCAGCTCCTGGTTCACCAGTTCATGGGGCAGTTTTTCGACACCATCGTCCCCTACTGGTTGACACAGCTCAAGTTAATGAAGCTGGACAAAATACTTTCGCCTGCAGCCAATATTGGGCTCCAGCTGATTGAAAAGGAAGCCAACCTCAGGGATTCATCAGACAGCCTGCTGGAGGAATACCTGGAGCTCTTCATAAAGTTTGGCTACGTGACCCTCTTTTCCAGTGCCTACCCACTCGCTGGCTCCTTCAGCTTCCTGAACAACGTCTTGGGAATCAAGTTGGAAAGCATGAAATTTAGCGAGGTTTTACAGAGGCAATTCCCAGTCCCGTCGGCCAACATAGGAGCCTGGCAGATGGCATTTGAGTATCTCACCACACTGGCGATCATAACCAACTGTGGACTCATTAGCTTGTCACCAGAATTCAGGCAACTATTTTCTGACCTCCCTGATCTTCACTATTTCTTACTGGCGGTGGCAATCGAGCACGGTTTTTTGGGTATGCAGAAGTTTGTTCGCCTGGCCATCCCCGAGGTACCTAGTGATATTGCCATCAAGCTGGACAGAATTGAGCAAGAATGCAGGAGGGCTATCTTCCATGATGAATCCTGTCGATGAGGCTTTGCGAGAAGCAAAAACGGAGGTAGTTCACCAACTCTCATGCAGCCACCTCAAGCCAGATTTCCTGACTAACCCCTTTGACCGATGAGTGACTTTCACAGCTTTAGAATGTACAATTCCTTTACCTGAATGTCCAGCTGCTGTTCAACAGATTACTAAGCAATTCAACTTATCTAGTAAAGTGAGCAAAAAGTGTTGTTTGTCTTTTGTCTATATTTTCTCTCTCCCTCCTGCAAGTGCCAAGTTAACTCTCTCAAAGATTTAGTGGTGCTGGATTTTCCTCCTGTTTTACACTCCAGCTCGGTTGAGGGTTGGTAAGCATGGAACTACTCAGCTCCACCGCCGAGTCTAATCCTGTCACTAGTGCAACTGGTCTTTTCCACCAAGATTTAACCAGTAGCAATCAAGGGAACTCTAATGGAGTTAATCCTTCCCCCTAGGCACCCTGAAATGCTAATCCTGGTTGCAGTTTTTCCATGTTAATAGAGGCCAAGCTGGTCAGTGAGATACAAATCAAGACACAGGCTTTCTGTTTGTGGAGAGCAGTTACTGATTTCCACAGTGCCACACATGCTCAAAGACAATTAACATCAATTGTGTCTCTAAACCGTAGTGACAACACTGTTAAAATTTGTTAATGTGATCAACCAGACGTTAACACTCCACAACTGACATGCAACCCAGACTAACAATCAAACCATGGAGCTTCTAGGATTTTCAATGATGACCCTGCCCCACCCTTTTAAACTTCCAAGTGCATGGATGTCCTGTGAGGAAAGTCTGGAGTTCAAAATGATATGCCAACCCTAACTACCAGGAAAAAAACATGTGACAATGTTGCACAGGTGCAGCATGTATTCCATTCCATAGCAGATTCAAGGGTGATCTGAAGTGTTTCAGAAAATGATGAATGTGAAAAGGAAGAGAGAGAGATTCCCCTTTGATTGGGGAATCCAGAACAACAGGGCATAACTTTAAAATTAGGTCAAGGTTATCCAAGGATGCTATTGGGTAGCCCTTCTCCATGTAAACAGGGCAGCACAGTGGTTAGGACTGCTACCTCATAGCACAAGGATCTCAGGTTCAATTCCACCCTCAGGTGACTGTCTGTGTGGAAGGAGATCACATGCTGATTTCATACTCCATTTACAGTTCTGTTTCTATCATATGTACAGAAGTTAGTAAATATACAGGACCTCACAAACATGGTTTATAATTGAGGATCGGAGTCGTCCTGGTAGGAAGAGTCTAAACCCTGAAGGTTCCAGCTTAAACTGACTCCATTGGGACTGAGTGTAGTTCTGAAGAAACCACAGACATGCACTTTTGGAAGGAATTCAACTGAAGAATAGCCAAAATCAGGACTGCTTGGTCTCACACCCTCCCAGAATCTAAAGGCAACCAAGGTTCCGATGAAGAGTCATCTAGACTTGAAACATTAGTTTGCTCTCCCTCCACAGATGCTGCCTGACCCGTTGGGATCTCCGGCAGTTTTTGTTTTCTGTACAGATTCCAGCAACTGCAGTAATTTGCTCCTATAAGGCTACTTTTAGTTGCCTGGTTGAAACCAATAAAACAACTGTCTACCACCTACTTCAACAACTGTTGAAGCGACAGTCCACTCTTCCAGAAAAGGCACAAGGGAGATGATATGGACCTGTAGGTAATTAGAAAGTCTTCCTTCAAGAAACAGAGGAAGGAGATTGGATTGGCATTTGTCATGTTGTTAACACTGTGTTAGTGCTCCTAAAATAACGCAGTCAAAACAAATATTTACAAATGAGTTGGAAAATTGGATTGGACAATGTATTATCAAAGATGCCAGTCATGTTGAAAGCTAGAAATTTAAACCGTGTTCTTTTAAGACTTGAAGCAAACAAATGGCATTTCTATTTGCTTCGGTCACATGCATACCTGTTGTTATTCAAGTTTAAATCTGCACAAAGTTCTCTATTAACACCTTGTATTTGTCTTGTAAGAATTGAGCAAGAATTTCTGGGCAGCACGGTGGCTCAGTGGCTCAGTGGTTAGCACTGCTGCCTCACAGATCCAGGCACCTGGGTTTGATTCCACCCTCAAGCAACTGCCTGTGTGGAGTTTGCACATTCTCCCTATGTCTGTGTGGGTTTCCTCCCCAAGATGTGCAAGTTATGTGGATTGGCCATGCTAAAGTGCCCATAGTGCCCAGAGATGTTTAGGTTAGGTGGGTTAGACATGGGAAACATAGGGGAATGGGTCTGGGTGGGTTGCTCTTCAGAGGGGAGGTGTGGACTTGTTGGGCCAAATGGCCTGTTTCCACACAGTAGGAGTTGTATTGTTTACAATGGGTAGTAGCCATTCAGCCTGCCATTCCATCACAGCTGGTTAGCTGGTCCATAACCCCTCTTCACTGCAGCTCTGGAATTTACTTTTTCCCCTCAGATGGGAATCCAATTCCCACTTTGAAAGCCACAAATGAATTGCCCCTGCCACAATCTCAGGCAGTACATTCCAGATCCTGGCCACCTGTTGCACAAAACTGTACTTCCTTGTGTCACCTCTACTTCTTATGTCAGTCGTCTTAAATTAATGTCATAGAATCTCTACAGTGCAGGTAGAGGCCATTGGGCACATTAGGTCTGTAATGACCCTCAGAAGAGCATCCCATCCTATCCCCATAATCTCACATTTACCATAGTTAACCCTTGAGCTGCTCCTGATCTGATCACCCAACCTGAGCATAGTGGCCTCACCCCTGATCCAAGTACACAATGGAGCTGTACACTACAGGACAATTTCCCATGGCCACTCCACCTAGCCTGCACATCTTCGGACTGTGGGAGGAAACCGGAGCACCTGGAAGAAACCCACACTGACACAGGGAAATTGTGCAAACTCTACACAGACAGTCATGCAAAGCTGAAAGCGAACCAGGGTCTGTGATGTTATGGGGCAGCAGTGCTAATCACTAAACCATCGTGCTGCCCCCCTGTGTCCTCCAGTTCCCAGCCTTTCTGGCAAAGGGATCAGTTTCTCCTAGCTACTCCAAACAGGAGTCCTGTGGATCAATGCGTAGCGTCCCTGCCTCTGAACCAGAAGCTCTGGGTTTGAGTCCCATTCTAGAACATGATGGCCAAGGAAGGTGCATTTGTGACAGGGTGAAACAGGTTATGTATCAACCTTAAGTCTTTCCAACCCATGCCAATGGGCAGCGGTGAGAGCAGGTGAGATTCCTGGTCAACTGTGTGATGGAAAGAACAGGGCAGTCTCTACCATTGCTGGGGCAGGGACAGAAATCACGGGCCTTTGAGCTACTCCTGATCTCTTCACCCCGCCTGAACATAGTGGCCTCACCCCTGATCCAAGTACTCGATGGGACCCCCGAGAGCATTGGCCCCTGACATACCGCTCCCATTTTGCGACCCTGCCATGACAATCCATAACTACAGCGTGAATTTAAAGTGCAGGTTTGTCTCTGAGTGAACTCTTTCATCACAAACAGTGTCCCTGCTTTTACTTGCAAAGTACACAACTTCATGTATTTCCCACATAATCTGGGTAAACAGCATCGCTAGACATTTTTTAGAATTCATGTTCAGGACTTAGCAATGCCAGCATTTTACACAGTCGTTGAATCTTACAGTTCAGAAGACTATTCAGCCCTCTACAGCTCTGCTAGCTCTTTGGTAGAGCTATCCAATTGGTCCAATTACTCTGCTCTTTCTCCATAGACCTTTTAATGGGGATTTTATCAGCGTCCATTTCAGTCCATAGTAGCCAATGTATTGAAATGGTGGTACTTGATGTTAATGATCAGTCCATTTCGGAAACTGCCAGACACATTTTATAGGATATAATTCTCTATTACTGTACTGTACTTGTACAGATCAATAATAAACCTTTTTCTTTGCTTAGGTTAGCAGTGGTAAAGGGTCTGATTGCTCAGTGCTTGGACACTATCCCAGCATGCTGGCATATGTTACACAGCATAGCAGCTCAATTTCAGCATCTCAACAGACTCAACGAAACCATTCAAGCCAGCCTCGCTCCCCTCCAGAAGCTACCTTCCTTTTTTGTGCAAGGCAGGTCCAAAAGTATTGACTAGTATATAATCTCGGGCACAGTTTTTCTTTGTGTTTGACAAGTGAGTTAATTCCATTCGATTGGTTTGCCCAGTTTGCCTTGTCTCCTGAAGATAACTGTGTTTGTGATACTGGAGCATTCTGTGCCAAAGCCAAGTAGACATTCTACATAGGTGAGTATCAACAAGCTTCCTCCAACAGGGCAGCATCCAGTTCCTGTTAACCAAACCCACCAGATTGAGTCCAAGTCCCTGTCAAAGGTTCCCTGGCAAGTGTGGGATGTGAAAGATGTGCTCTGGATATTTTGCTAACCAGCCTGGTGGTTATTCACACACTTCCAGCAAAATTAACTGGACACTTCCTGCCAATGGGAATCCTGGATCAACCTTTCAACTCCCCAAACCAGAGGCAGAAGGCCAATTGGAGCATTCTGAGATTAGTACATACTGGGTGAGCCAGGACATATCAAGGTTGAATCTCACATCCACAGTGTCTCGGTTTCTTGTTCTTTAGGGCTCAGCAGCACACTAATCAATCAGTGCGAATTGCTACTGGGTAATTAATCTTCAGATTGCAGCCCAATTTTGTGCTTAGTTCCAAAAGATACTCTTCGATATACCAGACTGTGTCCTACTCCTAGAAAGGCAGGATAGGCTGGGACTTATTCTAGAGGAGCGTAGGAGGTTGGGGAGTGACCTTACAGAGGTTTATATAATCTTCACGGTTATAGATAGGGTTAATGGTAGGTATCTTTTCCCTAGGGTGGGGGATTTCAAGACCAGGGGGCACATTCTTAAGGTGAGAGGAGAGAGATTTAAAAAAGACATGAGGCGCAAATGTTTTACACAACGGGTAGTTCGCGTGCGGAATGAACTTTCTAAGTAGTGGATGTGAGCAGAGTTACAACATTTTAAAAACACTTAAATAAGCACATGA